CCAAATAGAAGTCGACCTTCATATATCCAAAAATGATGTCTGTCAGTAACTTCAACATATATTCCAAGTGAAAACAGTTTAAATAAACGTTAAATAAAGATATACAAAATGTTAACTAAATGGGGCTTATTTGTGGTAGCTCAACACAGGGGCAACACAAGGGTGTTTTATTCACGGTTTGTATTTCATGCAATAACCATCTAATTTAAATCTTGATCTTAATATTGTACGACGACACGTCCGATGGACATTATTACACCGCGCGCATCCGTCACATAGCGATTGGTCCAAATACCCACCTTCCCTAACAATATTTGCAAATAATCTGACTTGGTCTATTGACGACTATCTTGTCAAAAATGTCCGGTGGTATTGAGTTCCAACCTTTAATAGTATTCGGGTTAAAGCTAAATTTGAGTGAGTCTGTTCTGGTTGGCGGTCTGAGGAAATGATATTTATTCTTTGATTTGATGATTCTTCCCGGTATTTCTAATTGATCTGTTGGTATATGGACTTTATTGTTTAATCCTTAGTGCAGACGTATGAGTCTACTCTGTGTCTTCTATCTTTAAATGATGGTAAATTGAGCTATTTCAGAATCACTGTCATTAATCCAGGTTCATAATCTTTGTTTGATGAAATAAAGCGGACGCTCTTTTTTTGGGATATTTTCTAATATCTCCTTGAGATACGTCTGATGGGTAACCCAGGCAGCACTTGAATACTCAAGGACCAGTCGTATAAGTCCTTTGTACGCTTGTAATTTTACCTCCTGGGGGCAAGATGATAAGTTTGATAATCCAAGTGTTCTGTATGACCTATCACAGATTTCTTCAATATGTTTTCACCAGTATAAGGTACTTGTGATGTTTACGCCAAGATACTTGATTGATTATAGAAATACAAGTTTGGTGTCTTTCAAGGTATAATCAAATTCTACATTATTGTTCTTTCTGCTAAGTATCACCATGTCACATTTGACCGGTCGAAATCTAATACACTGTGTTGCTGCCCAATTTCCTAGTCTGTCTATGTCTTCCTGTATTTTTTACAATCATTGATGGTGTTGATTTCTGTATAGCAAACGCAGGCATCGGCAAATAGTCTGATATCGGATGTAATATTTTCAGAGATGTCGTTGATGTGTAGCAGAAATGATATCGGACCAAAGACAAGATGTACCTTGCGGGACGTCTGAGAGCACTGATGTGGTATTTTTAATTGCAACCATTTACTACAACGCATTGTCTTCTGTATTAAAAATGAGTCTATCCAATCTAATTTGTTTGTTCGAATTCCATATCTGCTGAGCTTACATTTTAGAAGTTCGTGAGGTACCGTATCAAATGCCTTTTCAAAATCAAGTATAAAGATGTCAGTCTTTTTCCTGTTTTCTATGGATGTTGGCCAGTCGTGTATTACACTTTATAGTTATGTCTCACAGCTATGATATTTTCTGATGGCATGCTGTCTGTTGTTGAGTATATTTTGGTCTTCAAAGTGTTGCATAAGGTTTGAGCATATAATGTCTTCTAGTAAGTTACATTTAATACAAGTTAGTGATACTGATCGATAATTCAGCTTTCTCGTTGACGATTTTGAAGTGATGGAATCCCTTGTTTGTCTGCTTTCTGGCTATATATGTATTTAAACATGGTTTAGTATCTTGTCTGATATCTCCTATCAGGTTGTTAACATAGTTTTTATGAACTGATTTTACCTTTTTTTATTTCTGGTATTTCTGATGCTTTGTTATTTAGGCTTTAGCCTTGGACTCCTCGTATTCTTGTATTTATCATGGGCTCTGTTCTTTCGTTTTTTTAGTCGTTTTATGCTGATGTTAATCAAGAGTAATGACTGTTTTCCTCCCGCTATTTTAATTGGTACATTCTTCTTATTTGTTTTTTAGAATGATTTTTTTTTTATTTATTTCCAATTGTCCTCTATTGGTCGATTGTTAAGGTGGCGTTTGAAGTAACAATCTGTAAAACAGTTTTTTGCATCTTCTGTCATCTGGTTGTAATCTCCTTTTGAGTATTTGAAAAAAAATTCTCATTGGTCTAGTTTTTTTCGGAACTGTACATCTTAGAGTACCCTTAACCATATTATGGTCGCTGACTTTATCTGGTGAGTATAAGTTGATAACTTTGCCTTGCAAATAAAATTGTTATGAGCAGGTCTAGGGTGTTTTCCTCTCTTGCCGGGAAGTGAACTAGTCATTCAACACTTGCTTCGTTCAATATATCTATTAATGTCTGACCCTCGCTATGAGCAAGACAGGAGTTGGTATCTTTGTTAATTTTGGTCTTCAAATTGATTTTACGTTAGTTGAAATCCTCAAGAAGATATATTTGAGGATGACAATTACGTTTGCCCTGTTCTTTTATCTGGTCAGATTGGTCTTTCAGTAATTTTATGTGATCAGCTGGTGCATCTGGTTACCGGTACAAGCTACCTATAAAATGAGGTTTTCCATTAATTGTGAATCTGCTCAAGGTTGATTCTGATCCATTTTCAAGCTCTTCCATTTGTGCTAAGGGAGCTACCATTTGATTTTTATGGGGGGGGGGGGGGGGGGGGCTAGGTTAAAATTTGAAAAAAATAGGCAGGACAGGAGTTTGGAGTAAAAAAAAAGGCAGGATGAGATTATTTGCCAAAAAAAAGGCAGGATGACAATTTATGTAAAAAAAAAGTCAGGATAAAGTAAAAAAAAAGGGCAGGACCGAATAGAGTAAAAAATAAAAAGGCAGGACCGAAAAGAGGGAAAAATAAAAAGGCAGGACAAAATTTTTCATCCTAGCCCCCCATAAAAATCAAATGCAAGCTTTTACAAGCAGCATAGTCCCTCCACAATTTGCTGTTCTTTCGTTGAGGTATATGTCATATCCTAATGAGTCTGGAAAAAGTTCATTGGGTTTGATACTGCTGTCAATTTTGGTTTATTGTATCGCAACTATGTCTGGGTTTTCTGTCGACTAGTATCCTAAGCTTGTAGTTTCAGTTTTTTACCTCTTATTAATTCCGTTGAAGTTAATTGATACAAAATCTATCTTACCATATGATTTAGTGGTACATGTAAGTGTTGCTTTGTTTGATGGATCAAAGTTATCGGATAGTACCTCATATTGGTTTCTTGTTTCTATACTTCATGCTTTACTTGAGAAGGAAGTTTATAGGTTGGTGTCATTACCAGATGGACATATCCAGGTGCAAATTTAAAGATAATCACGAAAGGTTAGATATTGGTAAAAATAGTTACTATACACGGATGAGTTGATTTTGTATGATCCAAATACGAAGAATACGGTGTTGATGTCCAAATAAGATCACAAAACAGATATCGTTTCCGAAAATTTGACAACATTTGACAAAAATTTCCCTCGAGATATCGTGTATTACAACTTGACGCATGCGCAACATAAATGTATTTGCTCTAATAAAAATTGTTAATGGTCTATTGTCTATAGGTACATGTGACTAATAAAATTATAAGGAATATACATGTATGTATGTGCATCAACATGAAGCAATAATTTTCAATCGGATCTTGAATGCCCATACTGTAGTTTTATTCCTTATCTTCCGTATTTAATATCTTCCCAATTCTATACATCATTCTAGCATTTAGAACCTTAGGCAAATCATAAGGCAACCAACCAGAACCGATATTTGTTAGGTAATAATTTCAAGATGGCGTGAATATCAAATGAAACTAATAGATTCGCACGAGGATGCGAAACTAAAATACAAACAGTATCGAATAAGATGAAAAATAAAGATTCTACGGGCCCATATATATATACGCTAATCTTGACCCCTTTGGCATCATTGGTGCCTTTTAGCTCGGAGACTGTAAGAGCTATTTCAAATCTAATGGCAGATTGTAGACAAGAATAAACAATCTATAGATCGAAAAATAAAAAAGTTGATAGTTTGAGGTTCAGTCTAAGTTGAACCGTTAAAGTTTATGATCTATAAATTCCAGGTCAATATGTTAGCTCACACCAGATTTAAAAAAAAGCTTGTAGCCACTTCGGTACTTTTTAGCCCTGAAACTGTAAGAGGTATCCTTAATCTCATTCCAAATGCAGGCAGAAAAATGTAATCAGGAATCTATAGAAAGAAAAACACTCTAAACTTGACAAGAAATAAAAAGTTTATATTTTTTCATTTTGGACCCTAACAACTCAAAAACTATAAATACTATGGCAAATTCGTTACTCATGCCAGATGCAGAATTAAGAAAAAACAAAACACGAAAAACAAAAACACAGCATGATGAATGAAACTCGTCAAAACTGAAAAAGAAATAGATGCTCCACTCCAAAATCAACGAAATTACCAAGGATGGCCCTTTTTAGTCCTTTATTTCAGAAACCAGTGGTGTAAGAATCCCCAGAAATTTCCTTTGAAACACACTTTCTTTATCTTAAAATGTAAACTGTTTACCCTCACTACACACTGATGTAAAGAATTCAATACTTTTGATTTTTAAAATCAAATAACACTGATAAGGTATATCAAGTAATCGACAGATTGATTAAAGCTGAGTGACAAGTACATTAAGGAAGCCGATTGATTGATTGATTGATGCTTTACTTCGCAAATAAAATGACCGACTGCTATGAAAAAAACCCCATTTGTATGACTAGGAAAATCAAACACTTGATTCAAAAATTAAAGAATCAAACTAAGTCTTCTCAAAATACTGGAAGTGCAAGTACACGTACATGCACCAGTGACATAATCATTGTACGGTATTTCGGATTGTCTGTTTCAAAACGACGCGATAAAACTGGAAGAATTATAAAAAAAGTTTATTTATGTACATATGTTTATTTCAATATAACTCAAAAAATTGTTATTCTACACGTAAACTATTTTCGAACGTGATAGTTAAGTAATCAAATAATTAAACTAATATAAGAATTAATTAAATTTTCATTAAACCAAGGATTTTGAAAGTAGGACTACTATAAAACTCATTGATAAACCATATATAAGAATAAATTAAATTTTTATTATACCAATATAAGAATAATATCTATATAAGTATTTGTTATTGTGCACATCAACAAATAGACTATCCCCTGGATTCAATCTAAATTCTCCATGTATAAATATATTTTCAAAACTATATCTTTCTTTGGGAACTTTCACTACTTTGCTTATAAGTTTCCTCTCTTTAGTATTGATAAATGTAGAATTTGTCTCACTCTGGATAAGAGTAATGCGTATTTGGTTGTAAGGTAGTTCGTGGTACGTTTCCTTAAATCGCAGTGATACCGATAAATATACATAATATATATTACTGTCTGATATATGTATCCTATCAGTAGTTGTATTCCGACCATTAAGTTCACACGATTTAATCGGTAACCAAGGAATGATTTCTAAAAGTAGAAAAGTTTAAAATGAATACATGAAATAAAATAAAATTGATTTTCTTTGTACATAAATAGCTGAAAAATATTGTACTATATAACTTTTCGATGATTACTTCCTCTGACTAATTGAATCACTATAGAGACACAGCATTTTAAAAATAGCTTAGAAATGAAATTTCTTATACTTTTTACATTATAGTAAATTGCCAGTTCAAACATATAGAAAGCGTCCACTATAAGTGCCGGACCAATCAAGTTATGAAATGTGAAGGAATTTCATAGAGGTATGGTACCTATTTGAGTGAACACTCAGCACATGTCTCTTTTTAACCTTCACCAGGTTCGTTCGTCACTAAACATTTAGGAACCAAACTATATAAAACATGAAAGAAACCAGAATGGTCTTAGATTAGCTGAAGTTGTCTAATATAATGGAGAATGGAAACGGGGGATGTGTCAAAGAGACAACAACGATCAAAGAGCAGAAAACAACCCAAATCAACCTACTGGTCTGTAACGCATCGCGAAAATCCCGCACCAGGAGGCTGGCTTCAGCTGGCCCCTAAACTAATGTCCACATTGACAGCAGAAATTTCCGCGAATTTGAAATTACAATATCAAAGAAGTTATGTCATTTTCCAACAAGTTTCAATTAAATTGTTTTGTATGCATGGACTATCTAGCAACAATTAGTATATAACGAAATTAAAAATGACAAGATTACTCTGGTCAAACTCTAAACTATCATATTTATGAAAATGTAATGTGGGATGGATGAAGGACGATGCCAGGTGATTGCAATAAGTGAACAATGAGATAACTAAACATATAGACTTTCATATACAGTTTCAATTTGTCTTTAGACATCTTTAATTTTTAACTTGATGTAACATACCACTTTCTGGAGTTTCTACTTTTTCAATGCCATGATTACATGCTGTATTTTCCACTCCGGATGATCGCCTCGTTTGTTCTCGGAATATCTGCAAAAACAATGTAAAAAAAATATAGCTTCCTTGTTATCACTATTGTATTTTTTCTGTGAAAAAATTACTCATCGAATATTTATATACCTTATAAATACATGTATATTATACGTTTTGCTTAGTTGCAAATTAAAAGAAATAGATAAATAAACAATTGTATATCTAGTTGATACGACAAGGTAATCCAATTTAGTAGGCGTTCTACTACAACATTTATAATTTCCTTTTATTTAGATTTATGTAAGTACATCTGTACTTCTTCCTTTCTTCTTTGATTAACTATATTTTCTTTTTAACCCAGGTATTGTCAGTCTTTCTTTGACATCCAATTGTTACTTTGTATCATTCCCTTAAATAAAAGAACATTTTGGGGGTATGTGTTAATAAGGAAGCAACTTGTAGTACTATGAATTTGAAGTGCTAAACATGTACCTAAATAATGGAGTACTTTTTCAGTTCTTCAAAATTATCGTTCTATTTCAGTACCATAATCTAAACGTTTAGAGAATTTCAGTTACATAGTGTGTGTAATGGATTAGAATAGCATAGTGTATTAGATGTAGTGATTTTGTGTCATGGATGGATAGCCAATATCCTTTTTTTTTCTATTTTATATCAGGATTTAGTGCACTATTTCCATTTAGTATTTTCTTACCATTCTATACAGCAATGCATATTGAAGTGAATCTCTTACACAACAGGTAAAACTCTGACGATCAGATATATCATGGAATAAATATTTAGCACAGCCAGAATGGTGCACATCTTCTCGTCGTAGTGTAAAACACACACTTGTTTCGTCTAAATGCATATATCTCCACGAATCATCGTAATGTGTCTGTTTAATTTTCAACGAAAATTCATAAATTTCAAATAAAGTGAATACGCTATATCCTAATATTCCTAGAAACATGAATAACGACAAAATGCAAAATATTATCAATATACTAGTATATCTATAGGAACATTCTATTAAAAAAAGCTTTTTGTTATGATTTTGTTTTTGTTGTGACTGGACAGGAATATGAATCCTGAGTGTTGACTGTTCAGTTTCATGAGCCTGCCATTCATTGTCATGAATTTCTGTTTGCATTTTGTTCAAAAGATAAAATTGTCTACCGGTATTTAATATGGTTGTGGTTTGTTTCTTTTTATAAAATTAAAGCATTGACATACTTGTACATTTCCTAAATATTTATATTATATAATTACGGAAATCTCCAATAACAAAAGGGAAATTGATCACTAAAAATAGATGTTAAAACTATTTTGAGGAAATTCAACAATGAATTATCGAATAAAAATCAAAATAGGTTTCCAGATCTACTGAGCTAATATTAGCCTGTAACTTTATTGAGATTTTACTTGATTTTATTAGATAAATCTAAAATTCCAGATGTATACTTTACGGTCATATAAAATATTGGGGAAGAATTTACTATTAAACCAATTGTAAAACTATTTTTTTTAACCAATAATTCTGTCCCTACAATAATATAGCCTATGTTGTAAACATTTAGCTAATTATTTGTCGGTAAATATGGTTTGTGTTTTTTCTTAGGGAGTTTTTTCTTCTTACTGTTATTATCATTATTCGTGTAATTTTTTTTTAATTTTTTTTATTTGGTTTGGTTTCTTTGAGTTGAAATTGTCTTGTATTTCTAAATTTTCTTTTTTATGAGAGTGCAGATGTTTTAATCGTCCATTTAACACTTTTTTGCATCGAACAGATCGTATTATGTTTCTTAACTAAATAGGGTGGTCTAAATACTTATGTTTCACTGAAATAAAAATCTACCATTTATTATAAACAACTTATAAAATATAAATGAATGTTATATATTGCCGTGTCGGAGTCTATATATTCGAACAATGCTAAAGGAATGTTAAAACTGTCCAAGATTAACATTTCAGACGTGTAATAATCAGCACTGACCTTCCACTTTTGAAACTTTTCTGAGGTTAGGATCATTTCTTGACGGTCTTATAGCATTAAATTTCATAATAGTAATGAGAATTATCACCGAACATAAACAGTGGAAAGTATGAATCTCCAAACATTGAGTGCTGAGGAGATGTACCTATAGGTGGCTAACAGTATGTCCACAGTTGTATGGACTCAATATATCAAAATCAGTCATCGAATTTGCCTCCGTATTGTTCAAATCTTATTTTTTTTCTATTTTTTATTTGATTAATTGCATTCTAGATCAAAAGTCATTGAATTCAAATAAAGGCAACAGTAGTATACCGCTGTTCGAAATTCATAAATCGATTGAGAAAAAAACAAATCAAAACGTATCTTTTTTATTTTTGTTTAAAGTAAACGAGTGTAGATTTAAAATGAAAATCTGCATTGTAGGATTATGGAAAAACCTTAATCATTTGTGTTAATTTGGTTTATTTGAATCATATCTTTTTGTCAACAGGGAAACCATCTCGGTGGACAAAGTTTGTTACTGTGGCTTGATTGTAACAGTTGCTCTCTACATATTGCAGTTCGTTCAGAATCTGACTAAATTGCAGTTTGTATCAAATCAAACTGTTCAACTTGTCAGAAATTTAATCAATTACTGTTGAAAATACAAGCATGTTATCAAAGTGCAAAATGGTAAACTATAGCATATTTACAATCCTATAAGATGTTAATTCCACTGCATCGCTAAATGATAGAGTGGCCTAAAAAAACTGCCATTTAATTAAAATGCTCCATGAAATATACTTTTAGCTAAAATACGTTTTCACGAAGTTTTAAAGGGAGATAAGACATATTACAATGAGCCAAACCAGTATGATGAATATATATTTGATTATCTTACAAAGAGAACTCATTTCAAACAACATATTGTATGTTCACATATATTTTACCGAATATAACAGGTTTTAATTCAAACTGGTGTCTTGTTCTTACAAATATAGAATACTTTTTAAAAGAAATATAGTATGAAAACTTGGTTTGCATGGGCATTTTTATAGCAATTAAAAAATTACAAACCCTCACCTTTTCATTGACTAATTGCAATAATAATGTGTTTAAAATTTTTATTTAGCAACACATTCATAATAGTCATGAAGTGCAGATCAAATCTTAATGAATTGTATGTATGCTTTATCTTATCACTTTTTACTTTTATGACTTGACTGTTTCATTCAGCAGTTAGCAATTTCTGTCCGGTTGACCAGTTCGATATGATGGAACAAATTGCAATTGGGTCAGATTTAGGATTAACTGCAAAAGGTCGAGAGAAACACTTATTCGGTTTTTAGCGTTCCCGATGAAGGTAAATCCAGAAAAGCGCTTCGGACGCATTAAATTTATAACGTAATGTTTTAATTTTGTATAATTAAGTCAAAGTAAAACATGTAAACTGCATTTGTTCTGGGAACCACAATTGTGAACAGAATAGACCTAGACATAACGTGGAAGGTTAATCGTCTATTAGGGGATGTCATCCAAACTATGATATGCCAAAAAAATTGGAAAATTAGTAATCTTCATGACTGTAAAAATGCCTTTTGAGTATTATCCTTGTATTTAAAAGTTTTAAAAAGTAATGTCCGTGTTAAAAACGATAGCTCAAACATGTATTTTGTTTATAAGAAAAACAATTTTGAAATACATCCTTGGCATTTATATGGTTTAAACAGCTGCTTAGGGATTTCACATAACCCCTTGCATTATTTTAGATTTTTGAATCCCTAAAGAATTCACAAAATAGTAAAACCGCTGAGTTGAAAAAACCCTAATTTTACAAATTCAAAAGACTATGAGTAAAGGTACCTGTATCGATCACATTTCAGAAAATACAAATCTAAAAAATCTATTTGCAAGGCCCAAAGTGTTTTTACGAAATACATTCATAATTACTTTTGGATGAAAACAAGAAAAATTAGATATCTATTTACCGACGACAAAAGGAGGATTTGTGTAATTGTATAAATTAAATATTAGAATAGTCCAAACCATATAAGTACATGTAATCCGTAAAAAGGTCGCGTTATAAGAAAGAAACAAAACCGACAACCTGATTTAAAGGAATTTGGTTTAAACCTGATTTAAATAAGAAACGTTTCTGATATAAAGAATTTGGTTTTTAGCTGTATCTGTAGAATTCTTATGAAAACGGGATATCACATCATATTTTGTTACGGCAATGTTGTTTATACAGCACCTAAATTAAGTTACAATCCATGCAAACTTATTGATCCTTTGAACAAACATATTCATAAAGGATATCATTTTAGCACCCATAATAATTTTAAATTTGTAGGAGAGTATATTCGTACCTTTTATTCTATATACAATATGCACGATTAATAGCTATAGTGAATAAATGTTTTGAATATTATGTACAATTGAACTGCGTGTTTATGGAGAAAGGACTGCATTGTTAAAAATTACGTCTAAAAAAATGTAGAAAACATATTCAATTTATACCAATAAATGTTAAAAATTATCACATGTGTACAAGCAATATGTTTTGCAAAGAGCATTTACAGACAATGTATATTTGATTGCAGTTAGTTTACTTTTTAAACCACAATATAAGTCGACTGTTGTCCAATAATAAAAATCATAAATACATGTATATTTACAAACGATCATAGTTATATCACTCTCTCATAGATCTCGAAAAGTCCCGTATAAGACGATTCCTCATAGTTATACAAGTATTTATATTTTTCAATTTTATATATATTATTTCTCTTTTCTGCAAATGATAAGTTCCTTAGAGAAAAATTTCTACGCCAGCAACATACCCTAATTTTGTAGTGGCTATTTTAATTTCCCGATCATCATTCAGTTCGACCTACATTGATGAACATATTTTTTGTATAAGTTGTAATTTTGTTATTGTCTTGGATATGCATGAAATAGTACAACTGACCGTTAAGTAAGTTACGATCTATCAGTCAAGCGTGACCTTGTGATCATATTTATAGAACAATTCTCATACAAAAAGTAAAAAGAATAATTTTGGGTTTTCGAAGTAGTTGTATTTTTTATAATTATATTCTAATTCGCCAAGCTCAAACGAATATAAATTATTTAACAAATAAAACAACACATAAATAGGATAAGTGTGCCTACAGGTGTACATGTAGCAGCCTTTAATATACTAATTACAATCAAAATTCTTCAAACTAAAGTCTTTCACTATAAATTCAGGCAAGCACACTACCAATTCAATCATATAATAGAATACACAATCAAAAGCTATCTACAAAGGAGGAAAAATACATATTAATATAATGTAATATATTTATATACCCACATTAACAATAATAAACTCAAAAAGGGTAGGTGGATGGGTAAACATAATAACGATCTGCTGCTACGTTAACTATAGGCAAACTTCGAATAACTTTATTTTCTCAAATAACCCTTTAAGTAATAATCATGTCTTTAACGAATCTCATGAGCTGCATATACCCGTAAAAGCCGCATTGCGGGTATATGCCATCCAATCATATTTAACATAAACATAAACCCTGTGCTTGATATAAACACAAACACGTGTTTATAGTAAACAATCACTTGACCGTTACTAAATCATGTGACCAATAACTTTAATAAATACATCTATCGTCAACATAGAAACGGCGATAGATGACATTGCAATGTCTTACAAATATAATGCAAAAGAACCAAAATGATTACAAAGCATTCGCATTGTTAAGTATCTAACACTAAACCTATAGTGCGGTTGAATTCAGTACTTGTAAAACTCATTCCTTTCCAGTAATACAAAAGCATATATTATATGAAGGAATATTTATACAACGAAATATGTTT